GGCTTGCTTTCTAATTACTGAGAGAGTTCAGCTGGTGTCTTGGCTTTCCATGCCTTTTTACACCTCCCTTTCTTCATGTGTTCAATACTTTATCCCTGTACCATTCCACATTATTACAAATAACTTCATTTCTGGACATTTATGGTTTGATTTCTTTGTATGTCTGGATCACTTGGGTTGTTACCGACAACTGTTTAAAATTTCATGTCATTAGCACCTCTAGTAATATATTTACTGTGAAAAATGGTGGCGTGTTCAATACTTATTTTACCCACTCTATGCTGCAATGAGATGTTAAATAAAGTGCAACTACAAGTACTGATACTGGAGCTAAACCCCAATTATTAATGTTATTTATTTGTTTACGTGTAACTTTTTTTGTGAAGTTATACCACCGGTGAAAAAACAACTGAAGGCATGTAATATAAAAAGCATCAGAGTAGACCCTAAATAAAGAAATAMGAGTATAAAATCAGATAAAAGGGGGTTAAGTGCGTACAAGATGGAGGGTGGGGAAGTGAAAAGCATTGGTTGCAATCATGTAATTGACTGTGTATGCGTTAGCAAAATATCTCATGAAACGGTGAATTTTAATAGATATTTTTTGCTAAACGGTAAACATTTTTACACTGACCCTAAAAGCAGATGGAGGAGGTTTCCCTTCTAATCAGTATGCTCATTATTTATTTTCTTTTCTTTGTTTAGTTGCTCTAAAACCACTTAGTTAGACGTGATAGCTGCTGAATCCCACCACCGTTTTTTTAAAGTTTGCAGGCCACTGCTAGGAGATGTTATAAACCTGCTGGATGGTCTCACTGTGTATCAGGTTAGGGAGTTTGGGTACGCTCTAGGTTTTCAGCACTTTTTTCATCCTCTAGTTCTGAATGACAGAACAAAGGAGGTGGACAGAGAGAAAAGTGAAAATGTGAAAATCAAGGAAGGAGGAGCAGAGTGCTGGTTAGAAAATGGGGGCATGTGAAGGAGGGGTCCTCTGCAACATCACACACGTGTGTGAGAAGAAAGAAATCAGGAGCTTCCTGGTTATTAGGAAGACAAAGGRGGGTCTCYGGGGGATTTTTCTGACTTAAGTTAGCTGAAGCATACCTCCTTCGATCCTCCTCTCCTCTTGTAGTGTTTTATCTCCCACCTGTACTGCTCYTCCTCTCTGTGTTTGATCTGCACGAACGTTGGAGAAAGGCTACTGTGGAAACATAAAAGAAAAGATGTTTCCAAACAGCCAGTGAGCTAAAACATATACTGTACATTTTATTGTTAATCCATAGAATCATTCAGTCCTGGCTTATCCAGGGTTAGGTTTTCCATGATTGGTCAAGTCTAACATGGTTGTTAGACGGTTTTAGACCAGCACTTAGGAAAGATACAGTAATATCAATGAGACTACAATAATAAATGGCAACAAAAACTTTTGGTAACAAAATGTCAAATCTCACAGGAAACATTTAATCAGACTGAATGAATTCAGAAATTAAAGAACTCTTGTGATTGCCTTCACTCTACCCAAAGGCCGATAAGGACCGTAATCATCTTCTTTGCACATTGCGTCAAAAATGATGCAAACGTTTTATATTTAAAGGTTTTAAAAACAGTTATCACGTGTCTCAAATGGACCACTTTTAAAAACAGCCCCTCCAAACATTCAACCCATCCATTTTCTTTACGGACATCTCCTTTACRGGTCATACAGAGATGGTGTCTATCTCCAGCAGTCATTGTCTAAAATCCCTAAGTCCCTTTTCCACTAGCGCCTCTATAGTATGGTTCGATTTGGCTGAACTTCAGTAACAGCTCTAGTGGGGCGGGGGTCATCGTAAAGTTGGGTGGTCCCATAATTCAAAAATTGATGTCTAAAGAGGTGGCGGCTATGCTCTATTAAGCTATTTGCCAGCCACCATTAAACAAAGAAGAAGATGACCCGGAAAAGATACGCAACACAACAATGAAGGACACAGTAGCAGTATTATTGCAAATGACGGGTCGGGTTGTTGTGAGAGTAGCTCTTGTGATGCAACCAATGGCTCCACCCTCTAACCAATCAGTGACCGACAGTCTTCTGACATCACGTTTTCAGGCCAGCATGGTACACTTGGAACCACAGCGAAGTAAGCACTGAAAAAGGGGCTGGTTCCACAAATCCTTGCTAGTGAAAAAGTCTTGGAACCGTGATGAGCCAAGCCGAACCATGGTGTAGAGGCACTAGTGGAAAGGGGGCACTAGACAGGCTGTAAGTCCATCACAGGTCCACATAGAGACAAACAACCACTCACAAACTCACACCTAGAGACAATTTACCAATTAGCCTAAGATGCACGTCTTTGGTCTGTGGGAAGATCTTTGGAGCAGGAGATTGAAAAGAACCCCCAAATGTAGTTACCTTAAAAGGTTGCCAAGTCTGCGAAGGAGTCCCCCTCAGTCTGAAAGCACCTAATAACCAAAGGGATTGAGCCAAATCAGAAGCTAACCTAAACAGTATATCTAATGATTTGAGAAAGCAGAACCTGCAGTAATGAATAATGAATCGCAGACTCACTAACCTCTACTTACGGTTTACATTAAGGTTGAATCAATACTGAGGCGCACACTGTAGTGGCCAAATGATGTGTCATCAGCAGCTTCATTAATCGTCACATCGAGCCTCTAGTGACAAACCACAAGGATTTATTGTTACATAAACAGAGTTTAAAGCCTGTGGCTGATGGGTGAGGGATTGATTCTCTGCTCCAAAGATCTGATTTAGAGTCAAATCAGCACRGGACTAGTTCTGTAAGGAAGACAAAGTTACAAATGTAATGCATGCAAATTATGTATATGTGTGAATTTAACAGGCCTAAGTCATATTTTTAACAGTAAAGCCTGAGTTTAGGAATGAAGGGGTAGTAGATGTCTAATATCCTGGACAGGGTGAAGAGTAGAATGTGTGAAACATGTTCCCACAAGCTGCTGTTAATGAGGACTAAAACAGTACAACCAAGAGGGAAACACACAAATTGAGTTCCTCAGGACTAATGGACACTTAAAAAGAGCGAGCGCACACAGAGAGTGTGTTCGTCCCTGCGAAATGCGACAGACACACCAAGACATCAATCTTTTTAGCGCAATGCTCGGAGCCTAAATGCGGTCTGATGGAAGAGAGCTCAGCTGTAAATCTTCACTTCAGATTGAATGAATTATTCATGTTTCTGTTTCTGATCACATCTGGACAGCGCATCTGACAGTCTTCTCGCTTATTTGCCGGCGGTGCAAGGAAGAAAGCGCTGATGTTTGGGTTTTGTGTGTCAGGCTGATCTATTCTTCCAGTGTGAACTTTGACCTCAGGTCAGGGTGAGTCTCAGTGAGTGCATTAAGAGGGTGGCGGGGCGTACGTGTTGTGTAAAACCAAGAAACACTTTTGAAAGAATTTATATTAGGAAAGCAATAAAAAGGAAACAAATTCTTGCTCTCACTCATTTTACAAGCTGTTGAGTAGTGGTCAGTTTGATATTTCCTATATAATAACCAAAACTGATAATGTTTTTAGGTCTAAATTATCCAACAAAGCAATTTATGTGTTTTAAGCAACACAGATTACAAAAATATAGTCTAAATTTTAATTCAAAGCTCCTAAAATACAGATCAATAGAGCTTAATTTGATTTTGTTGTTGTCTTAAGGTTGCAGGTTCGAATCCCGGTGACTGTTACATCAAAAATGTGGGTGGAAAGGGGGAAGCATACCAAGACAAAGTCTTAGGGCCAGACAATAACGTTTTTTTAAAAGTCATAATATTATGAGAATAAAGTTGTAAAGTYGTAATAATACTAGGGTTGGGCGATTTTGGCAAAAAAAAAAATCACGATTAATTGTGGCATTTAGCCAATAATGCTTAATACGACCATTAATAGATGAAGATTGCACTTGCATGACTTCGACTCTATTTACAAATTACTACAAATACTCTGCTGTAAGAGGTTAGAGAAGGTAGACCTGTGATATATGGGTTGCTGGTTCGAATCCCAACTGTTACACCCAAAATGTGGGTAGAAAGAGGGAAGCATATCACACTTGCTTACACCCTTAATTGCCCCACTCTGAGCCGTTGTGCTGGGTTCTTACCCCCACAGCTGCACAAGATCGCAACCCTCCTTCTTCACAGAAGTGGGCTGTGTGTGGTACCTTGGTGGTCAGGAAGGGAATAAAAAATAAAACTTTGCCAAATGGTCATGCAAGTTAGCTCACTGTGGTGACCCCTGATGAAGGGAGCAGAAAGATAAAAAAAACTTAATCTGTCCTAGGCTTTATTAAATATTTTGCTAACAACACAAACACACAAAGTATTATTATCCTTTCACCTTTAGTGGTGGGTGATTAGCAAAAACAAAGTAAAGCTATTTAACACCTCTTAGCGTGCTCCGGCAGCTTCTTCTGAACTACAGCTCAGCAAAGCAACGTCTAGACTGAACGCTTATCAGCCGAATTAGCCCTCTAGGTTTCATGTGAAAGAAAGAAGAATAATCTCATTAACGATGAAACCCATTCTGTGTGCGTGCACACAGCGTGTGTGTGTGTTTCTGGAGGATTTTATGCAGAGTTCCAACAGTAGCATCACYGAGTATTTAACACCTTGACATGTGTGCGCAGAGACATAATAAAATCCTGGCCTAGCACTCTAGAAACCAGATAAGAGCTCARTAATCAGATTCTTCCGTCTGTGAGAATCGCTCAACTCTTCCTTTTTTTCTTGCCTTCTCTCTCTGCTGGATTTGTTTCATCTGTGCGTCCCCCTCCCCCGCCCTTCTTCTGTATTACCCTCAGATCTGTCATTGTTCTTCCCTCCTTGATTTGTGTTTGTATGTCCGAGCAGCGGGACCAGATCCTTTCAGACTGATCACCATTCACTCAGATCGCTCCCTGTCTCTATCCCTCTGCTTTTGTTTAAAGCAAATAGATGAATAAATTCTCTMTTTTCTTAAGTCCCTCTTTTCTCCAAGTCTTTCTGAGTGTGTAAGCTCATTCATACGACTCACACACACACAGAGAACAGACCCCAGGCTCTGAACTGTCGCAGTCCTGTGTGGAGCTTCTGCAGCTGCTGGGACGGAACAACAGGGACTTTAATGCCCTGAACAAAACATTACTCTTTTATGTCCTTACTCATTTCATAGACTGCACRGGTTTTATATTCCCTGCTGCTTTACTAAGCAGAAATAAAGCAAGATGATAAATAGGAATACAGATTTAAAATAAAGGCCTAACATTCCTTGAAGGAATGCACATCATTTGCTACCTTTTACAACAAAGTACATCTTATGTGTAAAAACTGGAGTTGTAGTTATTTTGGTCTCAGATTTTAGCTAATATCTGTAAAACCAAGAGTTATGGCCATTTTTGTGTTTAAAAAAGTTGCTGAACTGTGGTGGCCATCTTGAAAGGAGCTAACTCCRAAAGTTAATCGGTGGCAGATGTACATGTAGTGATTACTTTCTGAAGGTTTTGTCRAATCTAAATCTTTTCAGGGTTTCACGAGATGTTATGCTGATGGTTCAGACAAACTAACACAAACAATTTAAAAACATTATCGTCTTTCACCTTCAGGGGTGGGCGATTTAAACACTTCTTCTTCTTTCTGCCGCCTTTCATTTTATTTGTGATTTGGATTTTTATTGTATATAAATTTATTGTATAAAAAAATGAATAAAGTTATTTAAAAAAACTAACATATGTAAACTAATACTAGACATTCTTCAATAAATAAATAAATAAATAAATAAAATAACACATCTGCGGCAACCCCACTTTGACTTTGCTGAAATATGTAGACGAAGCTAAAACTGAGTTGCTAAAATTAAAAGAAGCAAAATACTAGCTAAAATCCAAAAGGAGCAAAAAGGTTGAAGCTAAAAAAAGCAGAACGCTGGCTAAAAGCTAAGAAAACGCGAAACACAACATAAAAACATCGATTTTAAATGACTAAACTTAGGAAGCCAGAAGTTGAAGCTAAAGTCCTTTTAGTATCCCGACTGTACAGTCGCAGGTCAAGTTCTAAGTCCTGCCTCTTCGTGTAAACAAACACAAACCTGCTTATAATAAAAAATAAAATACACCTCGGTAATTTTAAGTTGTTGACTATTGCTCCWGACTGGCTGCTGTGTGGTTTAATGTTGGTTACTTTAACAAATTTAGCTGTAACTACTTTTTTTTTTTAAAAGAAACTAAAGGTCTAGCCTGGTAAAAACCAGACCCTGTCCTTCACTTTGCTTCGTACAAGGGTCTGGACTTGCTGCATAGAGAAGCGATTCCTGCTGGAGGCGTGGCCTCTGTTGAAGTGTGTGTGTGTGTGTGTGTGTCGCTGTGAAGGAGGCTAAGCTAAGAAGCTAACCGGAAATCGCGTGCGCTGTTAACAACCTTACTGAGAGGAGAAAAGTACCGAGCCAAACGAGACGGCTGTAAATGAGAGCTGCTGCTTTGTCAGACAAATTTATTTTAATTTGGAAGCCTTATCAACACGGACTGGCTTCATTCACTTCCTCCACTGCCGTATGCTAAAATAACTAGCAGACACTGCGCAGAAAATCGGCGTCGTTCAAAACTCCACCTTCTGTTTGCTGATTGGCCCTGGTAAAATAAACTACAAGCAGACACTGCGCAGAAAATCAAYGTTCTGTTCTGTGATTGGCCCGGCTAAAAATCTGCCTGTGAAATCTTTGTCTATGGGAGAAGTCCCAGACGGAGCAGTGAAGGGTAACTAGAATTGAGCAGAACTGCGTAGGAAGGCAAGGGCCAGGCTACTAAAGGTAATGTAGAACTACGATTCTGTGTGGGAGGAGTGGGCGGGGCTTAAATCTCCAGTGCACATGGTCAAAAACAATTCAGCACGGCAGTCCCTGTAAACCACGTCCTTCTGGTCCTACAAGAGATGGCTTTACAATTGGTCTATTAGTATCATATGTCTATGGTTAAAAAAGGCAGAAGGCTGAATAAAGCTAAAAAAAAAACAAAGCATGTTGAAGCAGATTTCAAAGAGAAGAAGAAATTATGTGTTTCAAATCCAGGAGCCAGGGAGAAGGAGAAATCACACACACGACAGGCCCTGGAACAGTGTGGTTATCCTGACTGGGCTTTCCTGAAAGCAGACAGGAAACACAGACAGGATTCCATGCAACCTTCAGGTGAAAATGAAGACCCCAAACCCAGACCCAAACCGTGGTTATTCCGTATGTTGCGGGTGTTTCGGAGAAACTGAGACGTTTATTTTCTAAACATGATGTCCCAGTAGCTTTCAAACCCCAAAACACATTACGGCAAAGGCTGGTTCACCCCAAAGATCCGGTGCCCCGGCACAAACAGAGCAATATTGTATATGCTGTTAAGTGCCAGGAGGACTGCGACCAGTTATACATCRGGGAAACAAAGCAGCYACTGTTCAAAAGAATGTCCCAACACAGACGAACTACATCTAATGGCCAGAACTCTGCAGTTTTCACTCATTTACAGGCCAGCGGTCACTCTTTCAGAGATGAGGATGTTCTCATTCTTGATAGAGAGGAACGCTGGTTTGAGAGAGGAGTAAAAGAAGCCATTTTTGTGAAGAAAGACCGTCCATCATTAAACAGAGGTGGAGGTCTCCRTTTTCAGTTGTCCCCCTCCTACAGCGCGGCTATTGCCAGTATCACTCCACCCCTGTTAACAATAGGTGTTAATTAGGTGTCAACGATAGCATGTGATGAGTATCAGTCACATGGAGGCAGTGCTTAAACCCTGAATTTTGCCTGAAACTCTCAGACTGAAGAAGTCTCTTGGAGGAGAGACGAAATGTTTCATTAAAGAAGAACCCGTCCAGAAGACCTATACAATTTTTTTCTTTTTGATTTTTTACCTGGATTACTGAGATGCATCAGGACGTGTTTCAAGTAGTTTTACTACAGAAAGCGTAAAAAATGGGGAAAAAAGAAATAGCGTGAAAACTGAATCAGCATTCACATTAATAGTTCTTTTTAAACAGTGTAGTTCTTTGTCCCAGATGATCTGAGTGAACTTTCTGTGACACAGTGTTAAGTAATGAGCCCGGTCTGATTAGCATGAGGCAGAATGCTGATTGCTGTGCATATTGCCCTCATTCCTGGCGCATGTTGAGTTCTGACAGATGGTCGGAGGGCATCATGGAAGTCTARCACCGTCCCACCCGTCAGGTCACACACATACTGTGTATTATTGGCACTGAGCCAAAGAAGTTGGCACTGCGGCTTTGACATATTCCCAAAACAAAACTCCTTTTCATTTAATTGCAAATTACCTTTTCAAGATAATGTGCAAAAGTTTTAAACCACCCATAATTTCTTTTAATTTTAGCTTCAAAGAGGAAGCAAAGTATAAAGAAGTTAGGGATGCTTCAACACCTTTGCAATGTCTGTTTGTTTTGTGAAGATTGTCCAAAATCCTTCAAAAACCCACACGGCTGCAAATAGGAGTGAAAAGCTTTTTTTTCTGTATTTTCTAAAATTGTATCAGCAAATGGCATAGTCATCTGACCCACTTTTCTGTAAAGGCAACATTTCTCACCAGTCAGACCTTCTGTCRTCTGAAAAGCTGAATTTAAATTTTCTTAATTCAAGAAACATGATTTTCTTCCATGTCGTCTTTATTTGGTGCCTAACGAGGTTTCTTCCTGTTTTTAAAGGTAGACCACTGATTGCACACTTGAAGAGCAGGAAGTACAAATATGGGACTGCTTGCTGCTGCTGCAACCTACATACTGTATCTCAGCTGTTTGATGCTATAAGAGGATCAGTTTAACACAGGTCCACAGGGGCATCGAATCCCTGCTAGCATGAAGCATAATGCCATTATCAGCTGTTTCTGTGAGATKTTCAGCAGGAACAAAGAAGGTTTATTTATTTTATACATGAAAATGAGTCGGTTCAGGAGAAAAATCAGGATTCAGAGCTAATAGACATCAGGTCTGCAGGTTATAAAATAGTCTTAATCTCTAACAAACAGATGTTACACAACATAAGTAAGAAGCAAATGTATATTTTTTCTTTGAAAGTGTCTGAATCAACACAATATAGGTGGTTTGAAAATATAAATACGATTCAACAGGGAGTAGTTTAAAGATCAAAAGCGCWAACTTATTTCCTTCATTTAGCTCTTTTGCTGTTTAATTTTCATTATTCGTTAAAACCCATGAAATTAAATAAGGATACTTTTTATTCACACTAATATGAAATTTGAAAAAAAAAACATTTACATTACTAGCTGTGAAAAAGACATTTATAAATGACAGAAAACCAGTCATTATATGAATCAGTGTATAAAATAGAACATCTTAAAAGTGCAGCTCAGAAATGTTTCTCTGGAGTGTTGTCTGCTGACAGGTTCCTTTAATCTTGTGAAAACGTATGAGWGGACATCTTTTTGTTTGTCACTGTTTCTGGTTTCTCCAATGTCTCTCTATCAGTTTATTTACTCCACCTAACTGAAGTTTATGTTTGCTTTATTGTAAATTGTTGTCACTCTTATCAACTATTTATATAAAAGTCTAGTTATTTAACCACCTTCACCAATWTTGTTGAAAATGGTCCTTGGTTCAAAACAAACTATTAAATTTACCTTGTAAGAGTAATTATCTGAAACTAAAGTGTTACTTTGTAACAATGACAGTGTTTGCTTAACTGTTATATATAAGATTTTCACAAAAAGTAAATAGATTTGTGTTTAGTAGATTATTTCTAGTGACCCGATACCAGCATTTATAGAAAACACTAGTTCAAATTGCCCCAACAATACCAGATCCAGTACTCCACTGAATGTGCTACAGTTTACATTTCATCAGTTTCATGTTTAAGAAAAYAATACAAGTTGAAAGAAAACTTTATTTAATTTAAAATGCTTCGTCAGTATATATCATGCTGTATATTTGATTTGATCAAGTCAGAGGGGCTGTAGGTCTATAATGAATGAGGGGCTCCTTGTTCTAATTAGAAATGTACTTAAAGTCATTAAGTAATGTTTAAGTTCTAACTCAGTAAGTACTTGGTATCGGCAAGAACCCAAACTGTAATACTCATACTTGGTTTWAAAAAACTGGTATTGGGACACCCTCTATTATTTTTTTGATGCATCAGTTTTTCTTGACAATAAATCTTTTACTGCTGGAAAGCCTGTTCATTTCCCTTTTAAATGGTGCCGCATTTGTAAGGAACATGCATTTGTGGGATGAGCAGTAGAGCTGAGTATGTGGGTTGGGCACATGGAAATTTTGCTAAAACCTCTTTGCCGAACTAACCTGCCAATCAGGTGCATGCTATAAGATTTATTGCCAAGAAGTATTGTTACACCAAAGAAATAATCTACCAAACACATATTTCCTCACATTTTGTGCTAGGTTTATAATTTTTGTTTAAAATGTTTTAATACCAGAATCTGCTGAGGTAGACTACAGCTCAGCTTACTATTAGCTCTATTCCATAGAGACCAACTTTGGAAAATTTGTACCATTGCTTTAATTTCTTATCTGTAACTATTTCAGTGAGTTTACTTTAATAAATGTTTCCTCTTTTGTTTTGTCAGGCTCCTGTTTCTGGGTGGCCGTCCTGGATGGACGCGTGGTGGGCATTGTGGCAGCGCAGGGTCACGAGGAYGACAACACCGTGGAGCTGAGGCGCATGTCAGTGGACTCCCGCTACCGGGGCAAAGGCATCGCAAAGGCCCTGGGTCGCCGCGTTCTGGAGTACGCCGTCCGCAACAACTACACCGCCGTGGTCCTCGGAACGACCGCCGTCAAGCTGGCCGCCCACAAGCTGTACGAGTCGCTGGGCTTCCASAGGACGAGCCAGAGCGAGGACTACAGGCTACCTGGGATGAGCCGCTCGCCGCTGGAGAGGCTCTTCTTCCAGATCCGCCACAGCCGCTACCGCCTGCAGCTCCACGAGGAGTAAACAGGTGATGGGGGAAGAGAAAAACGGAGAGGTGGAGATGGAGGATTGAAAAAAATAAGGGACAAAGAAAGCAAAATCCCTCCTTCACCTTCAAGCCCCAGCTGCATCCTCTCCTCTGACAGCTTTTATTTATTTTGTGTCATTGGAGAAATCTTTGAGTAACACTTCTACTATTTCATTGTAAATCACTAACATTTTTTAAATTAATATTACGCTTTTGTTGATGTTATTTTTGTATTATGCATTACAATTTCATTAATAGTTTCTTTTTGTCTATTTTAATAATTAGGTTTGTTTTTATTGCTACCCACTTC